CCCAAAATGCAGAAATGCACAGTGGTAATACGGCAGCTCTACGTCAAGCGGGCCACTTTTTGGCTTAAACGATGCAGCACCACATGACTTATTATAACCAAGAGCACCAGAACTGGAATTAGCTGTAATATCTTTGCAATAAGGTAACTCTAAGGCCTAAGTTTATTGTTATATTATTGTTTATTGTTATATAACCATCAAAAAGTTCAAAAGTGATCTTTAAAAAGTAGAGGTTGTTTCATACTGTATTAGGTTTTACAACCTTTGTCTGTAGAGAAGCAAAATCTATGTCTGCTTTGGATAGATTTGTGAGACTGTTTACAAAAAGAGGGCTACTACATTATGTTTATTTACTATAAAACTTCTCATTGCAACATCCGTATTTTTAAAAGAGAAAACCACACACTTTACCATGCCGCATATGAGCTTCGTGCCTCCAGCCTCACACTTCTGGTGGATTTGTGATCAAACACAGATTCACATTCCCAGATCCGAGGTCTCAGGATGGCTCTGCGGGCTTATAATAAGCAGACGAAACGTGACCGATCGCATAGCGCTCTTCCTTTGTCACAGACGGACCTCCGATGTCTACAATGTGGTTAAGAAAGGACTGGAATCATCACTGGTGATGGAGGGTATGAATACATAAGAGGTCATGCAGCTGTCCAGGCAGTGAGCAAGAGAGGCTCCATTTTGATGCTTATTCTAGCTCGGCAGCACCTGGAAGGGCAAAATCACTCAGAGCACAAAGGATCTCCTAGCGTTTGCAGCTGCTGTAATCAACACCGGCTTCCCCCAGTGCAAAGCAAGCGCGGCCTCTGCTGTACACATCGGACTGAGCAAAACTGAGGGACCAGAGTATCACCAGCACTCTCTGGCTCTCCAGGATGCGATCACCGGCAGCGGTCGGCCATTTGCCCGTCCCTGGGACGCGTCTGCATCACAGACGATTCGGTCGCGTTCAAACACACTGAATCTCTGGGTTCCCACTGACATGCTGATCTGCTGTTCCGTAAAATGAGAGGCCCCTAATATTAAACGCTCCACCTGAGCCTTCCACACGTCGACACACCTGGCAAGCTGGGGGGGGGACAAAACGTGGGATGTGGCCGGTCTGACGGTGCGTTCCGGAGGTGAGGCTGGCGGGGCATGAGCCGCAGAGAGGACGCTGTGGCATCAGGGGGCGCCCTGGTAATCTGCGACAGAGCACATGCATTACACTTGGAGTCCATCCATCCATCCATTTTCCAAACCGCTTTTATTCTCATTCTGAGTATATTTACAACATCAGGAGAAGGTATGGTCCTTCCTTCACCTCTGTCCACCTCTGAGTTAGTCACAGATGAGCTGAAAAGCAAGTCATTGCTTTCCTCGAGCAAAAAGCTAAGCCTGAAACACCATTTAAAAGCATCAGTGTGATCTGATATGGGCCAAGGCTGGAAGCCATTGCAGTGCACAGAAAGAGACCACCAGCAGTGCTGCCGCAGTCCCTCGTGTTGCCATTAGGGGTCTCTCTTTCACTGTGCATGCTATGCTGCCCACTCACACACCCACTAGGGCCTCTCCCACCGCCACATAATATATTACTCCATCATTTGAAAATGGCAGTTTTTTGAAAATTCACCTTGATTATCAGACATTAAAAGTGACTTATCCAGTGCGAGTGTCTGGCTGGGGGGGGGAGGGGGGGGTCGCAGACAGCCGAACAATGCGGTCCGCCATGGTATTAGCGCCTCGCTGGGGTGCGTGGGGAGGGACGGGGGGGGGACCCTTTGTTCTCTCCCACATCCAATTATTTCTAACGTGTGCCTCCTTTCACAACAACAAGAGCGAATTTCATTTTAATGCACCTATTCTCAAACAGAAACCATGGGTTAAAAATGAAACGGGGGGCCACGTCAAACAGACCCCACCCTCCACACAAGGCACACGCTTAATCATAATCATAATCATAATGATGAAAATGCACATACATTTAAAAACACTAGTAGATAAACAGAAAACACATTTAATCACACAGGCAAACATTGACCAGCACAGAAAGCTTCAGAGACCCCCTCATAACATCTTTACACACTAATATATATCTGCAAAATGCCCAGCAGCTCTGTGGCCAAATATTTTTCTAATTGGATGAGTGCTTTATTTGGTGTCAGAAATAGAGTGTTAAAAAAACAACGGAAAAAACAGCCCAGTTCCCAGAAGGCTGTGCAGCAGAGATGGCCTCTTATTAAGCGAGCGCTGTGCCTGTGATATAAGACCCAGCTCTAACCTTTCATCTTCACCAAAACACAGCCGGCAGGCAGAGTGCACCGCACTTCACAGGGAAATGAGGGAATCGGAATAAACAAGATAAAAACGGCGGAGATTTGGGCTGATATTAATGGCGCTCGCCGCACGCTGCTCTGTAGTGACAACCTCTTCTGGTTGGTACTGATCCCCCCCCCCCCCCAGCATTAAACAATACGTCCAGTGGATCTGGAGAAACAATGACAAGCGGGGAGTTTACCATAACATAAGACATTTGTAAACTTGCAAATACAAGTTCAATAAAAAAAAGGCCTCTAGAAGCATAATTCAGATTTGGGGCCAATTCCTATTCCGGGACTCAAACTGGAGTGAAGCTGGTTTGATATTGATGACTGAATTAGGGCAGAGGACTGCCCAAAATCTTCCCTCACTGCCCCCCCTGCTAATCAAATGTTTTATTGGCAATTGCTGGCCAGTCTGACCTCCAGCTGCCCCCCTCACCCCCACCATACCCAAGGTAGCCGTCAGCAGGGCAGGACTGGCTTTCCCTCAAGAATCCGTGTGTGGACACCCATGGTGCCCTGTGACGAGTGCGTGGCTTGGTGTTTGACAAACCAACAGATGGACACTGAGATCTAAATGAAAATTAAATACATGTGATTGATAAGACCCAGGAATGAGATACAAGAATTCCACAGAAGTCTCCCAGGAAGGTGAACCTAACATAACTCACAAATGAAGAGCCTGAGTGGTGTGGGGCCATAAAGAGGGGGTCAGTGTGAACAGTGGTTGGGAAGCAGAGCCTGGCACAGGTCAGGGGTACCAGCTAAAGAGAGCTTATGGAAGATGCATGGAGGCCAAGCTCCACACCACTGCTCAGCAGAACCGTTTCTTCAGAGACCTGTGAACATCAGATATCTGTAAACCTGAGAGATCCACATACCTCAGAGATCTGTAAACCTTAAAAATCCCCATGTCACATAGACCTGTAGGCAATCGAGATCTATAAACCTGAGAGATCCACATACCTCAGAGATCTGTAAACCTTAAAAATCCCCATGTCACATAGACCTGTAGGCATCAGAGATCTATGAACCTCAGAGACCCATATATCCCAAAGATCTGTAAACCTTAGAGATCCACGTAGATTTGGGTAATTCAGGTCCAGAGAGAGCGAAAGTCCAGACAGGGATTTTGTTTCAACCAAGCAGTTGAGTACTCCGTGACTCTTTATGCTAACAAAATCCCAGTCTGGACTTTTACTCTCTGGACCTGAATTACCCTACTCAGGATCCATGTACTTCAGAGATCGGTAAGCACTAGAGACCTATCCTCAGAGATCCATATATCCCAGATATCTGTAAATCTCAAAGATCCACATGCCTCAGAGATCTGTAGGCATCGGTGATCCACATGCCTTAGAGATCTTTAAGCATCAGAGATTTGTATGCTCCAGCTTATCAGACAACATTCTGTTCTAGACACACCACCTCCGGCTTCAATCAAGCTATTCCTGCATCAATATCCCCAAAATGTCTATTAACTACAAATCCTATTCAATCAAAACAGGAAAAAAAACAATCTCCCACCTTAGGTACTATATCTAAAGTAAAGTGATTTAATTGTGAAGTACTATATTGAAAACTTCAATAACAATTTCATTAGAAGAGCTTTTAATAGAAATTTCAGACCAAATGCAGTTGTTCACAGAAAGTCTAAAGGTGTGTGAAGAACTGGCACCAAAGACATTATTTTTGAAGTTCAGAACAGCGTTGCAAGCAACACTAGATCATTTGTTTGGCGTGTAAGATTCTTATAAGCAGTGTCAATGAAATCAAGGAAACACGGCAACATTAAGATGAACAGTAATGAGAAATAGCAGCTTTATATTTATACGTGAAAGATGCTCAAGTGGAACTTGGGTTTTCAGGGTAGATCACTGGATTCTCAGAAAGGCTACCACATGAATGATGGGTGGACAGGACAAGCAGGTTGCGGATGTTACAAATCAACCACATGGCTGCAAGAACAAAGGCGTTTCTCTGGATGAGTGTGGCTGAGCGATGGGGTGACAAGAGGTACCCGAGACCTCGCCCCCCCCACCAGCACAGCTTAATGAAATGTCCACCCCCGCCGGCTTTACACCCTCAGCATGTTGCATGGCAGCAATCTGCACGTCAGCAGGGATTAAACAATGGAGATGTGATTCCTCCACTTTTGAAGGGCAAAGCCCATAAGTTCCATGGAGCAAGTGAAGAGAAAAACCCATACAAAAGTACACATCTGCATACAAACATTCAGGTACAAAAACACCTGCTTACGCATGTACTGTATAGGTCGGCACAGGTACATGAACTACCTACATATGTAAACACTCATACAGGTACATAAACTATCTATATATATATAAACATCCATTCAGGTACATAAACTACCTACCTATGTAAATACCCACACAGGTACATAAACTACGTACATACGTAAACACCCATACAATTACAAAAACTACCTACATATGTAAACATCGTATACAAGTTCATGAACATCGGAATGCATATGTAAACACCTATAGATGTACAAAAACACCTGCATACACATGTAAATACCCATACAGGTACAAAATACCTAAATACACATGCAAATCCAAACACCTGCATACATGTATTGACAGGAACAGCGGGATCAGCGAGTACAGTTCTGAAGAGCTTACATAGAGAGTGTGATGGATAGCAGTATCCTGGGCTGCTCACCTCGCGAGTGGCATCCTGTGCTCTGCCCTGGCATTCTGAGAGCCTTCCCTGAACTTCTTCTAGTTCCCGCTGTAAGTCCAGGCACTTTTGTTCGGTCAGCTTGGCTTCTGTGCTGTGCTTCTCCTGGGCTCTGGCCTGCAGAGTGCATACCTCTCCCGTCAGCCTTTCCACCTGTGAGGCGAGGCAATACAAGATAAGGTGGGGTAACGAGGGGTTTTGTTACCTTGTGGGCAGGGTCTCTGGGTCACATAACTGATGCCTCTGATATTTGTCTATCAGTATGTCATTTATATACCCAGTGGCGTGTTTATTAGTTACCATGACTCATTAAAGCAAACAGCCTGCTCCTCCAAACAGCCAATCATGTGGCTGCAACGGAATACATGCAGTCTGCAGACAGGAGGTTCAGTTCAATTGAAAAGACTTTTCATAGAAAGTTGGCTAATTTGAGTTGTCAATAAAGCAGCTTAAAAAAAAACATGTTAAAGAGCCTGGAGTATGTGATATGTGAAGGCATCAGCACCACAGTACCACTGTGTGATGGTGATAATGCCAGCCTCAGCACACCCTGGACACAGCAGCGCTTGGGGACATGATGACTCCAACATGGTGAGGTTCGGTCATCTGGAGCCACTCGTCTGGTGAGGTTAGGTGATGTGGAGACCTTCCGCATGGTGATGTACAGGCTTCTTGTGTGATGTGGAGACCTTCCGCATGGTGAGTTTTGGTGATGTACAGGCCTCTTTGGTGATGTGGAGATCTTCTGCCCAGTGATGATTGGTGATGTACAGGCCTCTTGTGTGATATGGAGACCTTTTGCAAGATCAGGTTTGGTGATGTACCAGCCTCCTGTTTGGTGTGGAAACCTTCGGCATGGTGAGGTTTGGTGATGTACAGGCTTCTTGTGTGATGTGGAAACCTTCGGCATGGTGAGGTTTGGTGATGTACAGGTCTCTTGTGTGATGTGAAGACCTTCTGCCCAGTAAGGTTTGGTGATGTACAGGTCTCTTGTGTGGTGTGACGACCTACTGCATAGTAAGGTTTGGTGATGTACAGGCCTCCTGTTTGGTGTGGAAACCTTCCGGCACGGTTTGGTTTGGTGATGTAAAAGCGTCTTGTATGATGTGGAGACCTTCTGCCCAGTGAGGTTTGGTGATGTAAAGGCCTCTTGTGTGGTGTGGAGACCTACTGCATAGTGAGGTTTGGGGATGTAGTGCAGTGTTTCCCAACCATTTTCTCTGCCACAGCACACTTTTCATAAGGTAATTATTCCAGGGCACACCAGTGATTAACACATATTATTCTCTAACTAATTACATGTATCTTATTCTTCTTTACCTTTTGGTTCACGATCAAGTTCATTTCCTAAAATTTTCCTTTTAAAAAATTTGTCCCTAATCTTGTCTTTTTACTTCCTGGCAGTTTGCTGATCACATACTCATGGTCAGGTGTCAGTCACAGAGTGGCTGGCTGCATTTGAAAACGTTTAAAGCCTTTTGGATATTTTATATATATGTTGTGTGTTATGCCGTTATGTACACGCACACACACACACACGGCACACCTGCCCTGTTCTAATTCCACACAAGTGTGCTGCGGCACACCAGTTGAATAACACTAATGTAGAAGCCTACGTCAGCAATGAGGTGATTTACAGGCCTGCTGCATAGTGAGGTTTGGTGATGAGGAGGCCTTCTGTGCAGTGAGGTTTGATGAAGTAGAGACCTCCTACATCAGGGGTGCCCAACTCCTGTCCTGGAGGGCCAGAGCCCTGCACATGTTTGGGTTTCCCTTCATTTAACTGATTCAACTCCATGTGCTAATTACCACACAGCTCTTGAGCTGAATCATTTATGGTGGAACAGGGAAAGAACTAAGCTACACAGGGCTCCGGCCCCCCAGGACTGCATTTGGGCACCCCTGTCCTACATGGTGAGGTTGTAGGTATTCTGCAGACCTCTTACAAGGTGAGGTTTTGTGAGGATACAGTACCAGCGACTTACCTCCACACTCAGGTCCAGTTTATAGCACCTCAGGGCATCATTCTCTCCCTCGACCTTCACCAGATGACCTTTCACCTCTGACAGCTAAGTGACGGCAAATAACACGAACCACATTCTCTCAGTTTATGTATATCAAAAAATCAATACAGTTAAGGCAAGACGGCACATTCTTCCAAGCCATCAACCTGCAATTTCAATGAATAAGGCACATGCAGTCTGAGTATTTCACATCTATGCGGCACTACTGGATTAGGCTAAGAAACATTCAGTCACCAATTTGTATATTTACATACACAGTGATTACACACTGGAAAAGGGCCGTAAGAAGTTCACAGCTATATTGGACGCAGAAACAAAGATTGTAATTGTTCTAGTACTTCTTGCAGGGAACCTCCCAGCTTACTGTGGACTGGGAGGCTTTCACTCCACCAGCCATCAGCTACACTTTTCATTCAAGCATCACACCAGAATCGTACCATGATTTTGTCAAATTCTGCCCCTCCTTACTTCCTGCTCCAAAAAACTTTGATACGAGCCATTTATTTTGCACGTGGCAGCTTTTCAGCCGAGACTTAAAAGCATCCTCTACCTGAGGTAAATGTCGATCTTTTGAAAGCAAATGTTGCCCTAATTACTTTGCCAAGGTACATTCAGCTTCCAAGCCTTTTCAACATTACCACCCCCCCTCCCCCCACTGATAAAAAGCAGAGTTCTCTTTTATTCTGCTCCTAGCATAAAAACTCATTTATTCCAAAGGCCATGCCACATATAAGACACCACGGCATGTAAACGTGAACCGAATGAAGAAACATTCATAAATGTCCACAGGTTTTTAGAATTAAGGTTTGAAATGTACAGCATAACCATTTTAAACATCTGGCTTTGTAATCGCGACCCTGCTTTACGATAAAATTGCCACGGCTAAGCTCAATAACATTAAGAATGTACATCAACCACGTCTTAAACTGATTTCATGCAAACATGCCAGTTTTCTTGCGCAAATGTGAAACAAACACACGTGTAGCTGAGAGAGCGCTGAAGGCCGAGAAAGCCTGGGGCTAGCGGTGGGCTGTATACCTGTGCGTGGAGATCCTCTGTCTGCCTTTCTGAGGCTAGTAGGTCCCTCTGCAGCTGCTGGATGCGACTCTGCTTTCTCTGCTGCTCCAGCTGGCTTTCCTGCAACTCGGTCTGCAGCTGAGTTATCCTCTGCTCCTGGATGTCCAACTAACCAACCCCAAAGGCGGGCAGAGAGAGGAGCAAGAGAAAAATCAATCCTCAGTAAAGATCTGCTTTTCTGCACCCACACCAATATCGTACACCTATATGTACAGACCCAAACACCCAATCAATGCCTTACCCCAGGCATCCACATTCATCGCCGGGATCTGCAAACAAAGGTGCTATTTGCAAAAAATATATTTTAAGAAGTCCTTTCGTCTGAGATGTGGTTAATGATATAAGAGAGATGCCATTCGATTCCCCAAAATCGCATCAACGCCTTATTGATTACTGTAGCAATACCAGGCAGATGTATAAAATGAAGGCATTTGAAATGTGGCGAAATGATTTTGCTTTATTTTTAAATAAAGCGCAATCACAAATAATGCAGGGATTAATCCTCAATCACAGAGCAGTTAGGATACTGATCTGTATACAACACAACTATTTAATTATCAGGTCCACAATAGGCTGCTCCCGTAACTGCCATACTTCTCATTCATTATCACTCGTTCGTTATGGCGAAACAAATAAATACATGAATACATCTTCTATTTGACACGGTTACCTGCTAAATCGCCAACAGGAAGAACAAAAGACACAGGAGAGCGAGACAAATGGAAAAGCAAGGTGGTGAAGCCCAAGTTCTCGTCCTATCTGAACACCCCAGAACCTACAGCATATTCCACATCTCTGTTAAACCGACGGCTCGGAGATGCACGAGCGAGGCCCTTCGGAGGAAAGTCGATGAGATCATTTAAACAAAGAGGCCAGAAATAAATGCAAAGAAGACATCTGAAGCCCATCCTTCTTCGACGGAGCGTGGTCCACTGGCAAACAGAATCCTTGGGCTCCTAGCAGCAAAAGGAACAAACTCCAGGTTCTGACCAAATTAAAAGGGACGTGACGGGTGCTTCTCCAAGTCCATCGAATCCAGCAACTCCTGCGGCTTCTCAATCTCCCCCCATGCACAGTCTACGGCAAAAACCCTGCTGCCTCTTCCCTTCCTCCTACGACACCTCTCTCTGGTCTCCCTCCTAAACTGATCAATACTTCATTTAAATCACGACATTAGCACATTACAACTGGAAAAAAAAACAGACGGTGAAAGCTAAGCAGCTCCAGACTAAACAAACGAGCCTGAGGAAGGCTGCCAGGGCTGTTCACACTTAATGTGTGGACATGTGGAACTGAGGGAAGATGTTTGGCTGAAATGGAAGCCAGTATGCATGGATCCGCATTAGCGTTTAGCTTCCACAATCCAAGCTCTAAACAGATCAATATTTCATTAAAATCCTAACAGAGGCTTACGATCATGTTATCTGCAAAAATCAAATAAAGAAGAGAGCATTATAATAATAATTGAAAAAAGAGCGCAGCCGCTGATGGGTGGGGGGGTGATTTTCGGTACTTACCTGCTACTGCAGTCCAGCGCTAACGTGTTTGTAGCGATAGCATACAGTATATTACTGATTAGCGGGATCAAGGACGGACATAACGGAATGCTTCTGAAGTCACGCGCGCTTTGGGAAAAAGTATGACGTAGTAGGTCTCTCTGCACGAGAATTGCAGGATTCACCTGGGCACTCTGCGAGTCCCGGGCCTCGAGCTGGAGGAGGACGTCATTCCGAAGCTTCTGGATGGTACCATCCCGCTGTACCAGCTGGGGTGTGGTGGGGTGAATCAAATTTTCACGTTGCCGATGTGAAGAAGTGCAAAAGAAATTACAAAAAATAACATTTTAAATCAACGGAGCCGCAGTGGTAGACTGGTGTGCAGCTACCTCAGGGACGGACACCGATGTCAGCCGTTTCAGGGCTTCCTGAAAGGAATAATACTACCTCTGACTGAAGCTGAGCAGCATGTCTCTGATAGAGAGGATAATACTACCTCTGACTGAAGCTGAGCAGCATGTCTCTGTTAGAGAGGATAATACTACCTCTGACTGAAGCTGAGCAGCATGTCTCTGATAGAGAGGATAATACTACCTCTGACTGAAGCTGTGCAGTATGTCTCTGTTAGAGAGGATAATACTACCTGTGACTGAAGCTGTGCAGTATGCCTCTGATAAAGGAGGTAATATTACCTGTGACTAAAGCTGTGCAATATACCTCTGAAAGAGGGGACAATACTACCTCTGACTGAAGCTGAGCAGTATGTCTCTGATAGAGGGGATAATCCTACCTCTGACTGAAGCTGAGCAGTATGTCTCTGATAGATGGGATAATACTACCTCTGACTGCAGTCGAGCAGTATGTCTCTGATAATGGGGATAAGACTACCTCTGACTGAAGCTGAGCAGTATGTCTCTGATATAGGGGATAATACTACCTCTGACTGAAGCTGAGTAGTATGCCTTTGATAGAGGGGATAATACTACCTCTGACAAAAGTCGCTTGTCTCTCACAGCAAAGGGTTGGGTGGGGGTTGGGCTCAAGTGTGTCCCATCTGCATTCACCTGAAACATAAGGAGCAGAAGAAAGATCTAACAAAGCAGAGAGAACAAGGACAGGTTTTTTTAGGAAAGGTAAGAGTTAACAGACTGGAACAAAATGTGGACAGGCAGACAATGTTTCTGGTGATATGGTTCAGTCCACATGAAAGGCTCGAGAGAGTTTAGTTGTAGAAACTGCAATGCTACCCAAGTGAACCCCCGACATCCACTTAAAATCTACAAACACACTCAATAATTTGCTCCCACATGACAGATAGGGACACATTTATTTATATAACAAAATATTTTATAGGCCTAATATCAATCCCTAGGTACTACATAGTTTTAGAATGATTAAACAGTGAAAATAGGATTTAAAAATCTATTTTAAAAGCAGAATTGTCCCCAAAAACTATGCTATGATACTCAGATTAAAAATAAACTATAAAGCTTTGGTATTCTTAGGTGTTCATCTCCAGTGTTGATTTCATTTGAAAAAGGAGATATTGGCAGGCAGAAGATGGATAATCAAAGGGCAGCAAACAGAGATGAGACGGCCGATTCCTGCAGCCCCGAGCAGCGCTACATCAGAAGGACACCTTTATTATTTGGACTTTTCATGTCACTCGCCTCTAAATCCCTAGCAACCAGCATAGCAACACCCTCCCACATCAACGTGAAATGCATGGCAAGTCGCTTCCAGAAACCGGCGGGCTGCAGACAAAAGCATCATCCCTCGGAGAGCGGAATGGACTGCTTCAGAAAAATCGGGGAGCGAGGAAGGAACAAAGGCTCTTATCAATAATCATAATCACGTTCTGTGCGCCTGGCACTGTGCGATGTCCCCGAATGAGAAAACCTACTGCTGGAGAATATGCCATGTTCGCTTTGGTGTCATCAGAAGGTGTGTGTTAGTTTCTGCTGGACTGCTCTGACTGGTGTAAACTCGACTCCCTGCCCCAACTGAATGTATAGCTGGCCCTTGATGTGGCCCCCATCCAAGTCCCACCATCCAAACTTCAGATTTCCAAATTGTGCTGGGAAGGGATGGGGGGGGCATGATTACGACAAATGAGGCTCTTCTGTTTGTCACATCATGGACGCATCCAGTTCTGCTGGACTGACTTCATGTGCCATGTCCAGACAGAGCAAGGCAGGACCTGCCGGCGACATACGAGAACAAAACACTGTCAATGACACTGTCTGTTTTGGCACCTGATTGACCATCAACACCACAACACTTTGTGTATACAGAACACTGACTTTAACTTCCATGTTTCTATCTATGTTTACATTTCACTTGCACTTTTGTACATATACATTTCCTATTACACTAACAGTAATTGTTGTGCAATATCCTGGAGTGCAACATCTCAGCTGCTATTTAGGTTATAACAATATGCATTCTATTTATATACATAACCACACAATTATTTTTGCACATTTGCATATCTGAATATGAATATATTCTTTTGAGTAGATTAAATTAGTTTTTTTTTTCTTCTATTTTTAACTGATATTTGTTGTGTGAAGGCACAGTAAAGACTGCTACTCAGTTTCTTTATAATCCGTGCAATGACAATAAAAGAATCTTGAATCTTGAATAATATGCCAGACTGTTTCAGGTCTCTCCATAGCAGGCAGAGGGGAGGACACCCCACTTCTCTCTCAGGACCCCTACCAGGCATGCAAATCCTTCACTAGCCTTGAAGCGGTCGTGCCAGATATGAAGAGCAACTCCATGGATGTCTGCATGTGCTTAGCACAGCTCCTGAGCTCTGACAGAGTTACAGAAGTAAATGTGTAAGTGTGGCAGCCTCTTGAAACTGGAAAAAAAAAACAGAGGTTCTGGGCAACTATCACTATCTGTACTGGGCAGCACTGGGAAATGATGCTATTGGTCAGGAGAGTAGAACAAAATAGACAGTTACTTCATTAATGCTGAAACAAACTGTAGGTTTACGCTGAATACACACAGTTACACAGTAGAAAGACATTAATAGACATTAACAATAAATAATACACTAAAAGCAGTAGCAGTGCAAAGAATGTCAAGGAAAATATTGCATGGAATTCCATAGTAATAGTTCTGTGGGTATTGCAGAGTGGGTACTGCACAGTGAACAAATGAATGTTCTGTGAAAGTGTCTATGCCGATCTGATCCATTCAGATGGTTGGTTGTCCTTCCCTGCCATTGGGTAACTCATTGTACAGATCCAAAGCCTTCCTCACACGTTGGTTAATAAGGAGAAACGGACATATAAGACCATCTGTCAAGATCCTCAGAGTGGGCGGTGCTTAATCAAGGTGGCCAGTGGGACAACAGTGCAGCCGGGGTTAGGCGGAAGTGCAGGCCATAGCATCATCACATCCACTTTTATTCAACGCAAGACATAAATTAATTGCATAGGTAATAAGCAGGAAACAAAAAGGTTTAATGTGCTGCTTAAAAGCACGCAACTCTGATATCGTGCTGGCAAGGAAAGTGATGCATGCATTCATCACGAATGTCTGTCGCACATGATGTATTGCGATATAAAGCGTCCCTCCTTTAACAAATACCCTTTCATTCCTTGCGTTAAAATAAATTTTCATCACAGCTGCCCGACGAGACCGTCGACTCAATTAATAGTATGTAGGTGCTGAGTGCCGTCGAGATAAATAGCTTGGCAGATTAAAACAAAATTTCAAAACACACTGGGCCAATCTTATTTGGCTGACTGCGCTATGAGGATTTATGGCTGATACTGTAAACGGGGTGAAATGGTGAGCTTGCCACGTTAGGCAAATTAATAAGAGATACAAACGGGGATCACGCGCACGCACGGAATTAGATCCTGCGACAACGCGGCCCATTTCTAAAGGCTAATAGACAGAATTCCTGTTCACTATTACATTACAACAATCCAAATACTTATACCGACATATGAAAAGACATATAACAGAAAAGACAAAAACACACATCCACATCTATTTTCAAGAACATATACAGAAGTGGATTTCTACTGGTTTAGTCTCAGGACTCAGGACATTTTTCCTTGGTCATTACATGACCCAAATTTAAAAAAAAAAAAACTGAACTAAATTCAGTTCACAAAAGCAGTGCAGTAGCAGATCAAAGTTTAATAACAGTAGTCCAATGCCTCAATGCATTGTAATTTTTTTTTCCATTTTCAAAATAATATTCTAACTACACACCACAGCCCCATGGAATTTGTTCTGTGACCCCCTTTTGGGGCATGACCCACCAGTTGAGAAACAGTGACACACAGTATACACCAGTATATGCTTTCATACAAAATGCAAACAAACACAGACATGCATACATATGTATTTACACATGTGACCTCCATAGACCAGGCATGGCTATGAATGAAATAATGGTTTATGTCTCTTCACAGCCAGTTTACTGTTATGTGCTGATAAACCAGCAGCTACTTTCAAGATTTCTTTAAGCAACTAGACGAAACCTTTGACTTGAGTAAGAGCTCAGTGCTGCCTCAGACCTTCACCACTATGAGCAGTCCCTCAGGTTCAACACAGCTGCAGTTCACAGCTGCTAACAGCATGATAACAGAAACAACTACGTTTACAATTAAGAATGCACATGATAAGCGCCTCGATGAGTGCCCCCTACTGGCACCACTGTTTTAATCATAAAATGTAAAAAAAAACGTTGCTTGAGTCAGAGCTACATTATTTCTGAGTTAAATCGCATGGCCGTCTTTGTACGTCTTTTGGAAGGGATAAATGCACGTGAATGAGGAACAGGTCAAGCTACAAAAATAGCTATTCCCCACCATCACGTTGCCATTAAACTGAAGACACGCATCGCAATTTTTCCATTTTAAAAGAAAAAGAAAAGGGGGGAAAAAAACACCCCCCCCCCCCTCTCCTTTCTTATCGAGTGACGATCGCTTGAGTGGAATCAGTCGTGTTCGGCTCAGCTTTGCCGCTTCCAAATCCAATTTCTGCCATGTCATTTCAGCGCGCATGCAGAGGGGCCAGCATTCCTGATTATCTCGCTCTCTCCGGTGCTCTCCACCGCCGCTCGCCCCAATGTATTAAATTAAATGGGGTGTCCGCTGAGTGCACTTCACATGTCACTGGCTGTTAGATAAATGCCCCCACCAGCTCCACCCCCCACCCTTGCCTCCCCACGTTTGTAATTTAGGAACCCTCAGTCCGAACCTACGTGACCACACCCGTCAGCAAACAGGGGCCTTACCGCTCCTGTGACCTGCCAGTGCCCCCTTCCCCCAGGACAGAGGATCTCTGAATCACCCACCATCTTTCTACACGACACATGCATTCACAACTAACAAAAAAAACCTAGATGTGTTTTGTGAATATCACAATGCCTTTTCTGTGAATACTGAACCTGCACCACACACTGCTTTACACGGGCCTTAAAACTGCCTATGGGAATTTAAAAAAACGCAGTTAGCATAGCGCCATCCCAGCACTTACTGCAGAATATCTCATCACTGTCTGTCAGGTGAAACAAATGCTTCTAACTGCAAAACAGAGTAGAATCCTTCCAGGTCGTGATGAATCATAGATGAGCGTATGTGAGTCTGCAGCATCAGGCTCACTCTGCCCTCATGCACACGCGGGCCGGCAGATTGTCCGCACACGTGTTCGTCATTAAATATTCATGCATACATAATTACGTGGCCCACGGCGCACTCATCAGCCAGCTCGTGTGTGTGAGATCCGCGTGAGCCGCCCTCCCGCCCCCCATTTCCGCACCCGCAGCTTTCATTTCTTACGGCATCCTTCCTCCTCGCTGGGCTCCCGCTTGCGGCCGCATCCCCGTCACACGCTTTACCGCAGCGCCGCTCTGGTATTTAAAACATTCAATCTCTCGCTCCTTTCTGAAGGACCTTCTGCTGTGTTCTCTATCTCGACGGTGTTCTCTGTACAATTCTCAGCCCAACTTTATACTTTTTAGCTTATTTGGTAACACTTTACTTGATGGGACACAAATATTTACAGTAGTAGTGACTCAATTACCAATGAA